CCAAGACCAAGCATTTCCAAGCAGCAGCCATTATTGGTCACTTTAAAATGTTTTTCCTTCTTACACTCTATTTCCATATCTTTTCCTTCTTTAGTACCCCTTCTTAATTTTAAACTACGTCTTTTAAACGAACCTCCGCTAGTTGCTGCTGTTCCCCTTCGGAGCAGATAAGGGCGACCTTGATTCTTTTTCCCTTCTTCTGGGTTATTACCGGTCTAAAATTGTATTTATCTCATATACATATCAATTTCTCTTATTTTGTGAGATTCCAACCTGCATTGTTACAGTAGTGTTACTACTGGCTTCGGACTCATCCGGCTCATGAAGAACAAAACTTATTTTTCGTTCCGCCTGGCCTAATGCTGAAAGATTTTTAATTTTACTTATTGATTAGCTTCGCTTCTACTGAAACGTATTTCATAAACATTTTCTTAATGTTTCTCCCACTTTTATTCACTTCATTAGCAGACGATGAGTTATCTTGCAGATTTATGTTCAAATCTTAGACAGTCGAAATGTACCAAAAATAGAGTGGTTGAAAGGACGCATTGTTTGTTTCGTGTAAGTGATGAACTCTTTTCTCCTTGAATCTTCCATGGGAAATAGTTGTAACGTTTCCATTAAGTTAATAATAAAAGCATTCTCATACGTATACAGTAGTCACACTGTAATACTATGCAAAGTTATGAAATGTTCCGATATTTTTTGAGGCGAAAATATGTAGTTGAGAAGAAAGTGTTTAAGTTTTTTAGAAAAAAACGACCCTTACCTGCATCTCGGTCTCCGGCAATACTTTGTAAACTCTGGGCGGAGGTTTGCGAATGCCCCATTGAAGATAACGCCATGCTCCATCTGCGGTTTGCCTCTTTACTGTAAAACTTTTCCCATGGTGGAGGTCTTTCTTTGCCTGCATATTTTTTTTTTGTTACTTCAGAGTTGGGTACAATGGCTTAGACAACGCGCCAAATAAAATCGTATGCAATAAATTAGCTAGTTTTTTACCTCCAATTCTGGAAGACTTGGGGAGATTTTGATACGTTTCGCGAAGAAATGCGGTTATTTCTTGAAGCAGCACGCAGGCAATTAGACGCAAAGGCATGGGGCAGTTTGAGCCGTAGGTGTAAATGCTCGCCTCGTCCAAATAATCTTCTTCCTCATCTTGAATTTGCAGCTCTTTCTGCTTGTCTGGGTCCGAGACCTACAACAAGAAATACAAGCGTTTTTGCGCATTTATTAAATGCCTTGCTTCTAAGGTAGTATTTACCATGGCATTGATCTCCGTTTGCAATTGCTGATCTTCAGCTATCATCTCTTCTAATCGATGGCTGATCACTTCGGCCCATTGATGAAACATTTTTCCGGCAGCCCGTTGAAGAACATGCGATCTTCGATTACCACCTGCATTTGAAGAACCCCTGGCTGGTAATGGACCGGAAGGTCGATACATTGGAAAGGCCAGTTTCATTGATGTTGGCCACTGACCTACGATTTTTTGTTAATTCGAAAAATACGCAAAATTAACATTGTGCAGTCCATACCTTTATTGCAACAGTGAACAAAATGTGCACACTCTAATAATAAAGCTGCTCTTGCCACCACCGCCGAATGGGCCTGTTGTTAAATAAATTATTTTATTGATACGGTTTTCGGTAAAGTTGTGAAAACCTCACCAAGTCCAAAGAGGATGCCAGTAGAAAAGCGTCTGGAACTGTCCCGGGTGGGCAAGTTTCCATTAAGAAGGACAAACGCTGTGTGCCATTATAAACCAGCCCAGTTGGAATTAGCTTTCTTTCTTTCAGAAAGACGACTTCTGATTCTCTTGAATTATCACCAAAGTCTAGTGAATTTTTCCTACTGAAATCTGCAATGTTAACAGACTCATTCAAGCTTCTTTCGGTAATTGTACTGTACTCACATTTACTTCCACCACCAGAATCCTCCAAACTTCCGTCTTTTTTCTTGCCTTTCTTCAAAAATTTTAGTTTGTCATCCAGTCTTCGTTTGGCTTTTTGCAAAGTGTGACTAACATGACTCTTCCCTGATCCCTTGTGCTGGTAGTACTTCGATGGTTGTCTGAATCACGCTTAGATAAAAAAAATTAAATTAAGAAAACTCAAGTTACCTGATGAAGCTGGCTGAGTCGTTAAAACTGTCTCCATTATCCGGCAGATCGCCATCATCAACCGACTGTGAGTCCCCTTTCTTAAACCAGTTAGTTAAAGACCCCATTTTAGATCTTTTCGGCGCTTTAATGGTAATACTTTCTAGGGCAATGCCAAGAGCTTTCTCGCTTTGTCTGGGGGTGAGAATGTGATGTTTCTTCCTCAGATTCCCCAGAGGGCTTTGGTTTGATCGGGATATATCATCGGTGTCGGTTTCCAGCAAGCTCTACAAATTTTTCTTGAGTGATGTCTGAACTACCAGCTTTTTTTAGTCCGCTTACCGGACAAGTAGATGAAGTACTTCTTTTCTTGAACAGCAGCTTCCTGACTACGCCTTTATCATCGATTGCGTAGGAAGTTTCGCCTTGGGGATCAGGATCGTTCTCATCCACATTGGTTGCTGATTGATGCATGTGTCTATAAACGACAAATTATTTAATCCTTTTCAACCGGATTCTTTAGAGCAATGTTTAGCTACCGGATAACTCTTGTAGTTTGTACGCGCCCTTCGTTTTTGCTGTTTCGCTCAGCAGTATCAATAAGAGCGCTCAGAGCCACCCTACGAAAAGCCCCGCCATGTCCCTCTTTCACATATGTCATCAGCTGCCGGATTTCGCAAAATAAACCCTAAAAGGCTGGTGTTAGTATCGCGCGGTTTTAAGAATCTGCTGTGGTTAAATTACGATATTTTCTGGAGCCCGGATCTCTTTCAAAGCATCCACAAACCGAGACACCAAAGGCTTGAAGCAGTGGTTAATAACATGCCCTTCAACGCCCCGTATTCCTCCAGCACCACCTACGGCTGGTTTTGCACCATATAAATTGTGTATACGCGATTTGAAATAACAACAAAATGTAGATTTCACATGATTAGTAATCTGCAAAAGTATGTCTTACTTAAGGGTGAGAGTAATGATGTGGGATCCACGCAATAGCCCAGATAAGCGTGCAAAACATCCATCAGTTCCGTGATGGGTTGCACTTTTACATAGTCTCTCAAGAATTTCTTGAACTGTTTTTGGCTCGATTTGTCGAGCCGTGTGAGTATGTTCTGGCATTGCGTTCTGAGGAACTCGGCTGCTGGTCCTCTTTGACCATCCGCACATCCGTGCGGACATCCTAAATGCTTTAAAACCCTAGAAAACAGTGAAGATATTTTTTGCAGGGATGCTGGCGATTTTAGTGAAAATAAAACCGACTAYTGTTCACYAGAAGTAWAGTGAAAACTTTCTGATCTGACTCATATTRCTTACTGGGAGACAGAGTATAGTGTTGAACCAAACTCTGGACTAATTGTATTATCTSGGAAAGGTGCAAACTTAGTTAGGAAATCTAACTACTGTTTCATAGGTAAATGGTGTTTTTTAATTTTCTTTCTAGTGGTGCAAAAATGAGCGGGATAGCTCAAGTGACTATTGAGATATGGGCAAAAAGGTGGCGRCATGTTTGAGTCAACATTCCAACTTTACMGAATTGGGAAAAGTGTATTCTAGTATATTGCTTTTTAGTGGTGCTTCACATCATTAATTTAATTCTCGTTTCAGTGGTGTAARAATGTTCCCACTAYAATAAASGGTTTTTGAGAYATGGGCAAAAAAGTGGAGTCATATTTGAGCTGCCGAGAGCCTAACTTTGTAAAACTGGGGAAGRGTTTATTCTATTAAAATCTTGCTTTTATGCTCAAATTGTGAATACTACTTTGGTGGTGTACAAATTTGYTCTCTAGATTAAGCAGTCTTTSCGATAGGGGCAAAAAGGTGGTAATTCTAAACCAAAAATACMGATTTTCCTGCARTTCGCCTAATCAGTTTGCGAGATASTAGGATTCTTCCAGACTTTCGTTCAYCACTGTAATTGTGAGCTACCTTACGACCGTGTTCATGGCGAGTTTGTGAGGCGACATATTTTGATCAGTTGTGAAACTTTCGCCTCCAAACGATGTATGAGTGGCGCTAGTTGGAATTTTTTCTTTATCTGATTTTTTCGAAGTTTCGCCGTCGTTTTGTGTGGGGCTCGTTTGCGACTCCTCCCGAGAAGTCTGCTTAAGAATTCCCATATCGATCAAAAGCTCCAGAAGGTTTAATATTACTTCCAACACCCGCAAAGTGCAGGAGGAGCTTTCCCTCATTGAAGTCCGATACACGGCCTGAAACGTAATGTTTTCCCCACTGATCACTTCTACCAGTTAAGCCCCCCTACTTTTAAAACCACATAAAAATCGATGTCCCCATCTTTGGTGATGTAACAAATCGAGCCTGGAGCCTCTGGAATATCCTCACTAGTGTAGGTGATGTTGGAGTCAGTTTGGGATCTGGTGAGGCTGGATTTCCGGTCTTGTTGCCAACGTCCTAATTGGCCGGAAAGACTTGCTCCATCTATTTGACTATCAATCGAGCCCTATTATATCCAAAAGTTCACCACGAAATCAGTTTAAAATACACTGCTGATATTACTTGTCTTCTGAGGTAATCAGGCGAAGGAGTGGGAGTATGCTCGGTTACTGTGATGATCGGGTTTGCCATTGGCAGAGCCTGAACTGCCTTGCTTGGTCTTCTGATGTCCCATCTGTTGTCCTCGAGGAATCTATCAAAGCATTGACTGGTTTACGTTGAAACCTTTGAGAGGATTTTGGAAAAATTGCGCACTATTTGAGGGAAGTTGAAGGTATGTGGCATGCAATTACAAAAAAAATGCAGGAAACTGAGTACTTGCTGTGAAGCTATTGGAAAATAAATAATAAATAAAGTCCAACTACAGTTTTGTTAAATCCATATTCATCACAAAGGCTCGATCTATAAAATGTTACATTTTCCTCAGTTAGTGTGAAGACCGAACCTTTTGAGTCTATATGTTTTACTTACCCTTCGGAATTGATTTCGTCAATCAAACAGCTAAGAGGACAAAAAGACACTTAAGAAAGGAAAAGACACACACAGTTCACAGCTTTCAACAGTAAAAAAGCATTATTAGCAGAAAACATACATTTAGGATGTGGTGAATCGATAGGTGAAGTATGAAACACTTTTTAAATAGAGGCTTTGGTTCATAAGCTCTTGCGGTTTTAATCTATTGAAAATAATATTTCCAGTTTGGACTTTAACTTCATTGTTCTTTGCTTTGGTTCTTCAAAAGTTTATTTGGCCTATTGTTTGGCTGAGTTCTTGGTCAATTTAATTGTTAATTCTTAGGACAGTCGGTTTCATAGTCGATTGTAAAACATACATACCTAAGACTTGGCATGCTTTTTCCTTTCACTAAGTTGCTAAGTATGGGCTCAAACGGCTTCGACAATCCAGAGCTTTTTCTCGTCATTTCTTCGCTTGTGTCTAAGCTACGATGATAATCCTAAATAGCAACAGATGAAATGTTTAAGGACATTTTGTTGGTCATTATGCAAATAGTCGAGGTTGGAAGACCCAAATGATGCAAATGATTTTTATTTAAAATATGGATTATGACACATCACATAAAGACATCAATCCTCTGGAAAATGGTATTTTTAAACTAAAAACAAAAGTTTTTTTTATGAATTTTTTGGGGCAAATGTAATCTTCCAAACCCTGCCGGGTCATGCATACAGAAAAATATTGAAATGAAAGTACCGAAGAAAAAAGTTCAAATCCTACTTGCAGGCTAAAGTAAAGGAGAAGTGCAAAAAGAAACACCTATGGATACCAGGCTGAGTCACAGGAAGGTCCAAGTCTTTTGAGTTTTCCTTTGAATTCACCTCCTTATCGTGCCAGTATGTCGGTTTTACAAAGGAAAACTTTAAGACATTTTATAATTACGTATAGTCTTTCAGATGTCGAATCATCGTTTTTTTACTAAAAGCAAAAGTTAAGCATACCAAGTAACAGTTGATTTTAAATAGAGCTTTGCGCTATGAAGAAAATTTATCTAACTGACTTTCTTTGTCTTCTTGGAATTTCGAGGATATTTTTCAACAGTATCTTGGTATTTAGGCAAGTAGTGAAAGAGGCAGGGGTACATACATCCAGAATTCGTTTGGCAATATTCTGGAAACGCACCGGTTGGCATTGATCCAATGGCTTTGGATCATCCTGTCCGATTTTTTCCAAAGCCTTATCGGATTTAGATAGTAGTTTAGTTTCGACAAACGCTTTCAAATCGGCAATTTTCATGCGCTTTCTACATTTTTCACTGGCAGTGCGTTTGTGTAACGATTCATCTGAAGCCGGTTTGTGAACAATGTAAGGAGATTCTAAAAAATATAAAACGTTCATCAGAAGCGCCTTTCGAAGTCGTTGCTTCAAACTGGGCTTTATTGGGTCAGCGAAAAAAATTGATGAAAAGTCATCACCTTTATTAGAACAATTGATTTAATACGAAACTTCTTACCCGCTAATAGTGAAACATCTTTTGGTTCGGGCACCTCAATAAAATCTTTGTTTTCCACCTTTTTGCTGTCGGTGCTTTGATAAAATGACACCTCAATTTTGGGAATGGGAAGAGAGTTGCTTCGCTTCCTTGGCTGATGTTGAGCGGCGTTTTCCTCACTTATGTCTCTCAGTCTGTAACATCCAAAAATTCCATTTAGCAAGAATTTCAAAGTCCTTGAAATTCACCTGTTGTAGAGAAAATGTAAAGCCCAATAGATGCCTTCCTCCTGCCAATGGGTGATAAAAAGACACCGCAAAACACCCACGTCTAAGAAGGTGGCAGCGGTCAAGTCCATAATGTGATGGGAGCCAAATTTCGCATTCATTTCGGGTTGTTCGGGCTTTTTCTCTCCACTTTCCACTGAATCTTTGTCGGTTGATGAACTAGAATCAGACAGTTATCGACAATTGATTGGGGTATTTAATGGCCAACTTACCCCACTTTCTGCATGGGTGGTCTTGAACTTTTCTGCTCAAGAGGAGCTGCAGAAGGCGGTTGAGTTCCATGATCCCCGGATTTATTTGTATTGTTTGTGCGTCCACTTCGTCTCATGGCTAGTTGAATCAAGCTGGTTTCTGCCTGCAAGATTAAAAACTCAATGAGAAAGTTCAGCTAGAAAGTTTCAAGATTCGTTACAGTGTAAATTGAAGGGTCCTTGAGGAGACCATCAGACTCGTTCAAAGGTGGCAAGCTGAAGATGACCACATGCTCTTCTTCAGTGCTGGAACTTTCTTCTGGTATGGTTTCAGGGAAAACCGTGTCCTTAGGTGAAGAGACCCAACCAGTCTAGAAAATCGCTCATCTGTGTTATGCAGAATGGCCCATTTTGATTAGAAACACTCTCATGAGGCAGAAGGAAAATTATTTGATGAGTAAACGAGGAACTAGATGTTTATTGATTCACAGAAACTGACTGAAATAGGAATTTTATTAGTACAATTTGAAACTTACCAAAAATTAATAAAAGGTTATTTGAATTTATTGAATACATTTAAAAAAATATTGTCTTTTTAAGAACCACTGCTGGGAGTTATATTTGAATTCATTTTAGTGAATTTTATAATTAGTCAAGATTAGGAAATGTTGGCAAAAAATTGTCACAAAAATTAAAAAATCAGCTACCACTTATGTTCATTTTATGGATAAAATTATTACCATATTTTTGATGTATTTTCACCTCCTCCTTTCTCTATACAGCGGCGTGCTCAGAGTTGCGTCGTACTTATTTCTAGTTTTGGAGATATTTAGCTTTTTCCAATGAGTAGTTAGGATTTCGTCATTTTCTTTGAAGCAATGTATCAGGGAGATTTGCATAAAACTTATAAAAAATACCGTTTACGAAAGATTGGATTTTGAAAAAGTCGTTTAGTTTTGAATCAATTTAAGATTTTTTCAAACCACGGTTTTGGTATTTTCTCTAAAACAGTTCATTGAAAAGTTTCGCTAAAGTAATTCAAAGCGCTTGTGAAGCATGTCGAACATTTTATAAGGAAGAACTTTTTTGTACAAACTTTTGTTTCCTATCAAAAATCGGCCGAAAAACTCAGCAAATTGTTGGAAACCAGTTTTTCGTTGTTTTGGAAGTTTTTCTTTACAGAATGTTTACAGGAAATGTTTAAGGTTTTTCAATATTTTTTTTTATTTTTATAAGGCAGTCTTTCCTTCGGAAGCATTAAAAAAATTGTGCTCAGGTACGTTCCAATAACCCGCACTATCTGCAAAAAATACCTTTTTCGATAAAAAATGCGAAATTGAACGAAATCCTAAGAAAAACTCGATATATTTTTGGAAAACAAACTTCTTTATTTCAAAGTTGTTCCTTTTACAAAATTTTTCAAATTGGCGAAATAAGTTGAAGCGGGGTGAGTTTGTTTTTGAAAAAAATATTCCAGATGCGAATATAAGGAGAAAAATAAACTTTAATTCATGCTTGAGGTTATTAATATTATCCTTATATTTTCGAATTTTTAAAAAGTTAAAATTTGGCTTTAAGTTATCCCCTAAAAAAATGTTCTCCTAAATTTTGAAAATTGTATGCAAAATTGCTCAGGTTTGGATGTAAAAAAATGCTAAAACAGGGCGAAGTTCTAAAGAAAACTCAACAAATTCTCTGGCTTGAAAGATTTCTTTTAAAGTACGTTTGGAATTGGCAAATTACATGCAAACGCAAAAGATTCCCGGTTAATTACACGGTGAAAAAGACATTGTTCTATCTGAAGATGACTTATTTTCAAAACTTTGCAATATAGTCTCGGCGAGCTTGTTTGCTTTCGAATGTTTAAGAATCTACAAGTTAAAATTTCGCTTCTCCCGTCAAACAAGTCCTTGAAAAAATTGTGTTTTTTTTTTGTTTTGGAAGTTTTCCTTTACAGAATGGTACAGGAGAAATTGAGGGTTTTTGAATAAATTTTTTTGAATTTTTTTGTTTGAGTGTTTCCATTCAAAATAGGCCAAACTGAGTTAAAAACGCTGAAAAAGAAGAATCTACTTACTTCTTCGTCACATTTCGAAGTAATGGTAGCTGTTACAACAGTAATGGGCGTAGGTGGAATATGTTGCTGTTCTGAGCTGGATGCACTTACCGGCTGGCTCAAACTGGGACTATCTCGTCCTGTTGTTGCTGACTCTCCTTGGGAGTGTTTACCTAAAAATAAAGTTGCAAAAAACTGGTTGCAAAGCATTGAATTCTAGAGAATTCAGTTACATAATCCCAACCGTGAGGTAAACTCAAAAATGTCCATTTTTACACCCTGTAACACATAAATATTCCAAAAGTTCCGCGAATGTTGCGATTCACCTGCATGATATGAAACTAGATTGCTTACGTCCGGTAAAAACGTCCTCAAACTGTGCTTTCCATTTGGCGCTTTTCCCATGGAAAAACTTAGGCTTCGGCTTGCAATGCGAAATGAAGCAGGACGCTTCTGGATGGCGAAACTCCCACATCGGCTGCCATATTTTCAAACCATTCTCCAAGCGAAAATTTTGAAAATCCGACTCTTTCAGGTTGTTGCAAAGCGGCGCAAACAAATAAACAAACAGCTGCAAATTCAAACAAGGCAATTTAACATTCAGTGAAAATGATTTTTTGATTTGATACTCTTACCGTTATTGTGGGGATCGAGAACAAATAGTGAAAGTGCGAATAGTGATACAAATCCTTTTCATAGTCAGTATCGGCACATTCTTCGGCCGCATCCAGTAGAATCCAATGCAACGTATAGAGCAACTTTGTTTCCAAAGCCCCCAAGCTCTGCAGATTTCCATCCTTCATTCTGAAATCGAATTTCAAATGCCTGAATGCATATAAAGAAATTCAGAAATTTCTTAGTACCTGTTATACAAGACCGATTGAACGGAGTGCATCACATGAGGTAAAGCAGCCTGGATTAATCGCCACCTTGGGATCGTCTTTACAGCATCAGTAAAATCTTTTTTAAAACCGGGGAAGAGATTTTGTACCAGCACTTTTTCGAAGTTTTTACAAGCTTCTTTTAACTCCTGAAATTGAAAAATTTTCAAACGCCATCAATCAAAGTTGATTAATTCACATAGGCAATTATTTTAAGGAAATTACCTGATTACAAAGTTGCTTTTTTGCATAGATCTTTGTTATTTGACGGAAACTTTGTCAAATACCTTCGGATTTAAAAAATCAACTTTGATACTAGCAAGTTCCTCAAAAATCCCTTTTAACAAAAATGTGTGAGATTTTTCCAGTTAATCCAGTTTTCCTGGATTATAAACGTGATTATTGCTATTGTTGTTCTAATAAAATGTGTGTCATACTCCTCTAAAATGAAATTCGATTTTTGACAAAAACTATTTATAGATTTGCATGCGTTAATTAAGTAAATTTTAAGATGGATTTTGTGATTGTTGTAGAGTATAGAGTTTAAAGTTACTTCCAAAAGTATGAGCGATTTTAAAAATTGATTGGAAACTCACAAAAACCATCACTAATTTATATTGTATTTTAATTGTTAAAGGAGGATTTACGTTTCACTGTTTTTAACACCAAATTCTGGAATTTGACTTTAAATTTAAAAATCTTCACTTGAAGCTCGACACTTAGTTTTAATTCGCGATTCCCATTTTCAATTTTAAAGTTAACATTAAAAATGAAATTTGCGTTATAGTCAAGTGAAGACAATATAGAAATTTGATATAAAAAATTACTTTTAAAGCTACTAAATACCAGATTATTTCATTTAAAAAAGCGCCCTTTTGATACTTACATGATGTCCTGTGATTGCATGCTGACAAGACTGAAAAAAATAGAAAAAATAGCCATAAAATACATTCAAGCAGATGTAAAGTCTTACCGTGCAAGATGCTTCATGGTGTTTTCCCAGTTTCGGTTTCACAAATGGCCTAAAACAAACATTATTTGTATTGTGTTGCTGTTAAAAAGCCCTGAACGCTTCAAGTTCTAATAAATCACTCTTGGTAATGATTATTGAGTCAAATTGCTCAAAACTGACTGGATTATAAATGATATTTGCTCTTACCCTACTTGACGCCATAGGAAAATTTGAATCGGAATGGGAATAGCTGTATCAGACAAAGTAGATTCTCCAGGCATCGCTCCTTCTGAATTATACATATTTCCTTCCTGCAAATCATGTGTTTTGTATACAAGTGTTTCATTTATTAGAAATGCAGACTGTTTTCTAAAACAAAATATCCAACCCACCAAGTGAATAGATTTAAAGCAATTTTTCCATAGGATTTGCATTAAAACGCTGTCTTTGTATTCAAAAATTGAATTCATAGTTCAGTCATGTTGAAATAAATTTCCAAATACACCAAATAATTAAACATTAACGAAGAAAAAGCAATAATTACGTTATAGTGAAGAAAATTTCAAACTTTCTTGAAAAAGATGAACCGTGTTTAAGAAAACATATTGCAATAATGAAAAAAACTCCCATGAGTTATTTAATTGCAACAAAATGCATTAAACACATAGACGTATTTAGTATTTATTTATAGTTACAATTTTCTTCAACCATTGCAAACCATTGCATAATAGTTTTGAAAAAATACACTTGATTATAAACCTTATTTAACCCAAATTAGCCCAATAGTGGCAACTTACCTCCAAATGCAACACTATTTTCTGACTTTTCTACTCGTGTTCAGTTTTGTTATTTGGGTGAATACATTTTTAAAATCGCGATTTTTAGTTAACTGTAACCGCCCTTAGAATAGTCGTACAGGGAAGAGACTCCGAATGAGGTGATGAGGCCGGGATGAGGATTTCCAGCCGGAATGCTGCTGCGTTCAAATCGAGAAAACGAAGAGTTAGAACTCGACTAACACTTAAAAGTGCCTTTTCCAGTTTTTTTACGGAAAAGACATCAGCGGGTTTCTATAGAAAGTATGTCACAAATATTCAAAAACTAATGGTTTTCTGATAAAAAAAAACTAAGGTGCGATCTGAAGAGTTTTAAATGTGAAAATCAGTAAATACATTTGCTCAAAAAAACTCTTTTAATCCAGCTCAAAGTTAACATTTTCCTGATGTTTTGCAGTCAATAAGTAAACTAATTCTAAATCCTCGTTGATTGAACCTGCAAAAGCTCTGAAGTAAAATCGATTTAACCCGCGGAAACTGCGCAGCATCCCGAGTTTTGTTTGTTTAAATCTGGAAAAGTGATTGCATAATTTTCATCATCAATTTTTCGTTGTGGTCAAAATTAAATGCAAATGTTTACTGCTTTAATGGGTTTCGTTGTCTTATTTTATAAAATATGTTTCTTTTTTATTATTGCTATACATTTGTTTTGGTGTTTTATTTTTGCCGAGCTGGATTTTCCTTGTCCATATTATATTGTCATATTTTCCCTTTTAGATGGGCAAAAAAATCAACTTCGATATTTATTAAACATTTCAGTTATTCTACATTTTAGTTATTCTACAAGGACATTTTTACATTAGTAGGATTTATAGATGAGTTGAAAATTTTACTCTAGTGGAATGTAGTGGATGGAAGATCTTCAAACATATCAGAGCGATCATAAAAGGCAGCAGAACGTTCATCTAGAAGAATCAGTATTTATATTGCCAGTGTTTGGAGATTTTAATTTTTGCGTTTGCATACAATGGATATTATTATACATAATTATATATTTTAATAAGTATATATTATTATATATATAATCTCGCATGTGTTTTTTCCAAAATTTTAAAGACTGTAATTTCCACGCTTTCCAATGATACAAATTAGTTTGAAAAATATATAAGCAGTGTAAAAAGTAAAAGCATACATTTTTTAGACAAGCAATGGGAAGGATCTTTAATAATCGCCATAATACTGAAATTTAAAAAATATAAAATATGATATTTTCATTGCGAATGTTTAATAATATTTTAATCGATGATACATTGCATTCTCACTTTTCGTTGAAATTGGATTTTTTTCTCAATTTTTGAGTTGGACGTCTTTGCAATCTACGGCGTTTCGATCTACAATGTTCCTTATTTTCAAATAATTTGTCTGTATATTTTTACCTACCTTGAAATATTGAATGTATTTTCAATATAATTGAATAAGTATTGAATACGCCGGAAAGGGTTCAAAGAAAAAAAAATTGCTTAAAGTATATATGTATGTTCAAGGTAAAAAATGACTTGTTTAATAGCCTTATAATTTTGTATTGGATTAAGGAAGCGGTTTGCAACATAAAAATGGCCAAATACAGTTACAACCACGAGATTTATTCGAATATTTTTTTCGCTTGAAGATCTGTGTTAACTTGAGGAAGCACACTCTTTAGAATTAAAGCAAATCATTACAGTTTACCATAAAAATGGCTACAACTTGGAAGGTCTTCATTTTGAGTGTAGCACTTGATGAACTGATGATGGTAAATTTTTACTTTGCCTATTTATTGCGGCTCTTATCAGTAGGTGGATGAATACACAATTGCATATGTGGCGACTTTTTTTCAAATTGAAGTGCAATAATCCAACTTTTTCCAAAGTTACAAATATAGACAACGTATAGTTCAACGAATTTTGAGAAAATTTCAAAATGTTATTAAAAAATTATTGTTCAACTTTAAATTTTCGTGGTTATAAATTCACAAATACAAAATTAGTTCAAGTAGGCAAACCAAATCTAGCCTTTTAATAACATAAATTTCAGTTCCTAAAACTAACATTTCAAAATGAAATAATTTGAGGAAAATATGAACTGATAAAGTATTTTTTTCATTTTTGCCTCATAAATTCACAAGCTGCAAACTAAAACAGCTAATCGACAAAAATTCCGGATTTCGCGAAAGCTGACTTGTAAGTTGTGGAAAATTGCAATACTTTTCATGGTTTCGTTGAGCTTTGAGAATTTTTCAAAATATGCATTGGAAACTGATTTTTCGTTTTGGCTCGTCTATTGTTATAAATCCACCAGTAACAAACTAAAGCAAGCGTATAAAGGAAATATAGTTTATTAATAAAACACATTTCAGTTACTAAAACGGATGTTGAAAAAATAAATAATTTTGAATTTTAACGAAAATGTGAATGGAAATTCCGTAATTCTTCTCTTAAAACCGCTGTCTCCAATTTTGCTTCAAATTTTCACAAGTTGCAAACTAAAACAGCTAAACGACCAAAATTCTGGATTTTGATAAACGAGACTTCACTTGTAAGTTGTGGAAAATTACAGTACTTTTGATGCTTTCGTTGAGGTTTGAAAATTTTTCAAAATATTTATTGGAAACTCCTTGTTGTTCTCCTTCTCTTAAGTCCGCGTCTTCATTTTTCTTTGAAAAATTCGCTTGTCGCAAACTAAAACTGCTAAACGACACAAATTTTGAATTTCGACAAAGGAAACTTCAGTTGTAAGTTGTGGAAAATTGCAGTACTTTTAAGGTTTTCGTTGAGCTTTGGGAATTTTTCAAAATATGCGTTAAAAATTGCTTTTTCATTTTGGCTCATCTGTTGCTATAAATCCACCAGTAACAAGCTACAGCAAGCATATAAAGGAAACTATATACAATTGTAATTAGAAAATAGTATAGTATATTTTAATTCGTATATTATACTTCGTTTAATACTATGACTATAAGTACATTTTCTTTTTGTAGATTTTGGGTCTTCCACGCTGAAAATACAGCCCATATCAATTACTGTTGTTTATCGGTTACCACGTTCATGGTTCCATTTCGAACATCTGCAAAATAATGGAATTAGCGCTAAACAATTAATTAACAAAGGTTCCACCTGCAGCCAGATTTTCCAGACGTTAAACCGACTACACATTTAACCTCGATAATGTCAATTTTATCCGCATTATCCGCAGGGGGTGAATCAAACTAATTCCAAAATTCGAATGTTGCTTAAAATATCGCCGCTCTGATTGGCAGATTTGTAGGACAATCGCTTTTGTGTAAGGAATGTCGCATAACGATTTATTTGTGTAGATCCAGGCGACACGCGATCCAGTTGCAGAACACACGAATTAAAATTATGTCTGCGGGTAAGTTGAAAATTCCCCTCTATAGGAATGGGCTGATATAAACATACAAAGAAAATAGTTCCTAATCTTTTTTGACTCCTACAAGTCCTAAAAAGCCTCAGAACATTCCTATTTCGCTCAAAGCTGGAATTCATCCTCTATTCTATTTCCAGGTAGAATCCGGAATCGGGGATGTGTGCCCTATTTGGACGGGGAAGGCGTATTTCTGAAGCCTCTGATAACAATTGAGTCCAAAAAAGAGTCATGCTACGATCGCAAAATGTCGCCCTTCCAGAGACTCTACATGCACCAAACTCTGGCCAGCGCTAGAAGATATGCGTACTTTAAACCATTCGAGTAAGTAAAAGTTTTGCACTCTTATAATTGGCTTTCTGGCCCTTGAGGCAGGATCAAGTACCAGCGTTCCATGCTAAAGGATTTTTACTATTGTCTGTATTTTAAATTAACTTCATGGAGTTTCTTAAGAACGTAATTTTATTTAAAGCTCGTAAGAGCTTGCTTATTTTCTTTTACAGGTATTTTATCAGGGAGATGAATCGCTCAATGTGTTTTAAACTTATATTCATTACTTTTCTCGTAGCATTTCAGCATAATCCACTGATGCATCAATCTTCTTAATTTATCCTTATTTCCGCATTAATCTCTTTAACTTTATCGAATCAGTTTTAGGGAGAGTACATTAAACTGTTTTTCTGATTCCAGTAATCTGATCCCAAAGGACGAGCTCGACTTTACGCTAACAACCACCTTTAATGAATCTTCTGAGGTATTTCCTGAGACAGTCGACGTGTACTTTCAACCGGAAACTCTCGGAATTGCGACCTGGAGACGGCTCAGAAACACCAGAGATCTGACTCCAGATAGAGAACAAATGGCGGCAAGCTTAAAACATCCAGGTAGTAGTGGAGATGGACCGAAGAGTAAAGGTGATAGAGCAGGACGAGGCAAAAAGAAAATTGTCATTCCATATAGATATAATTTGGTAAGTGGTAACCACCGAAAGGGTATTTATACAAGCTGTCTCAAAAATTGAAAATGTTTGGGCGGACAAAACGCTTAACTCAAAGGCCGATGAATTCGTCAAAAAGTCGGATAGAAAAAGAAAATATATAACAACTAATACCAGTTTGGTTGCGTTCTCTTTTTGGGACACCCTGCTTTTTACGGGGTGTTGCATATTCACACGCAAGGAAGCTATTTTTTATGTTTTTCGACGATTTGAGACTCCCTTGCGACAATAAAGAAATCTAAATCATGAATCATCAACAATTTGTCATAGAAGAACGGTTAAAAAATAGAAAAGAAATGCTAATTATACACGGTGACCTAGATTATTTTTTTTCTTTATTAGTAAGTTTTATTTATTTTTCGGTATTTTACAGAAATTGTTTCTGATACTGAGACTTTTATATGCATTTTGCATGTGTCAGTGGCGTAGTTTTTGGGGTTGAGTGGCCCTAACTTCTACGCCACTGGGAAAAATCCATTTTGAAAAGTTTGTCATCAATTTTATTGGTGTAAGTATTTAGTTAAAGTATGAATTTTAAAATTTCGAAAAATAAAATAATTTTTATATTTTCAATAACAGTTAAATGAGCTTTGTTCCAGGCACACAAATTGCTCATAGGCGGTATAACAGAGAAGAAACACCCGAGTAGCATAAAATTGATGAATTCCTCGCATCATTCTCCGCAAACAAACGCCGGATACTCCAGACAACCATCGGACGGAAATTTTTATCAATATTAATTGTAAAATTTACCATTTTAAATTGGCCGCTGTGTATAAAGCACGTAATAAACGCTCGATTGGAGGGAAATTTATTGGACATTTTATATATACATATTTGTGATACTCCAGATAATTATTTTGCATTTTGTCGTAAATAATGTTTGTTTTAGTATTTTTCATCATTGCATGTAATTTGCAATTGCTATAATTTAGAATTATTACAGAAAAATTCTACTAGGAAGACACTAAACATTGTTTAGAAATAAAAATCAAATTTTAATAATTTACGTTTTCTGTCATAAAAACTGCAGAAAATTCTTATCTACTTTCAGATTCAAAATGTATGCAAACAAAAATAAAAAAAGACGGCAATACGTCCAATATTTTTTTCCATTATGTAATTTTTATGCTTTGCTCGACTTTACATACATCAATATATTGTTTTTATTAACATTTGATATATTCATAATATTCCATATAACTCTCACAGTTCCCTGCTGTTCTTCCAATGAAATATTGCCAGAGCATTGAAAAGATTTTCAGTTTTTCACATCTTTCAACTTAAAGTGACGTGTTCAAAAGTTTAGAATCCTCGCCGCCAGAGTTCGCAAACTTGCCCAAATCGCCCATCGCTTCCGCTCACTTCTTTTCCGTTCGCTTGCCTTCAGGTCCAAGTCGTTGTCTCTGATTTTAGTCTGGTGATAAAAATGAGTGAAACTTTGCAGCTGAAAGGCACCCTTTTGGGGCATAATGGGTCGGTAACCCAAATTGCTACAAATCCCAAATACCCCGACATGATTTTGTCTTCATCGAGAGGTACGTATCTATCAACTTCCAAGTTGAGGTTCAACGAGGTTTTTAACCTCATGTTGAAAATCCGTGAAAATCTTGGAGAATTGCACCCATCCGGTTCGGATCGATGGCTAGTTTTAGGCTAGATTCCTTCCAGAAGCCCTGTGCATGCATATTTTTGCTCACAATGTGGTTTTTTTCCAGACAAGACACTCATCGTTTGGAAACTAACCCGCGATGACACCCAATATGGAGTCCCCCAAAAGCGTCTTCACGGCCATTCTCACTTCATTTCCGATGTGGTTTTATCCAGTGATGGAAACTACGCCTTGTCCGGATCCTGGGACAAAACCCTTCGTCTTTGGGACTTGGCCGCTGGCAAAACAACCAGGAGATTCGAAGACCACACTAAGGTTCGACCATAGATTTCATTATACCTTTCGGAAGAGAATATTGTGTGCGAAGTAAATGGACATTTTGAGCCCGACACATTTATGGTTCACTCATATTTTCCATTTGCATTGCAACAATATTATTAATTGGCTAATAGTAATTACCGAATTAACCACAGCAAGAAGATTATTTGTTAATCAGAATACTTCTACTGGTTCAGTCGAAGATGCAGGTTGCAGACGCTCCTTGAGTTGTGCTTAGAAAGTGAGTATGATTTCAAGAAAGATGCACTACCGAAGAAACTGACAGAAAGTTGTAAACGGCGCCGCAATTGTATTTGTATATCCTTCCTTAAAAAGCACCAGTCTGATGTCTAAAAGTCATTCGGGTTGTTGCATGGAAGGAAAGTAAATCTATTTCTGGGTGCGGAGAAAATGATTAACCAAGTTTTCATCCTCAATCTGAAGTAGTACATTTTGCTTTACATTCCATTTTTTTTTAAAACCTTCACTTGACTTGGATCATTAAATGTTGTTTCCTCATCAGGACGTGTTGAGCGTCGCTTTCTCCGTGGACAATCGTCAAATTGTTTCTGGATCCCGGGACAAAACTATCAAGCTGTGGAACACATTGGCTGAATGCAAGTACACAATTCAAGATGAAGGACATTCTGACTGGGTAAGAACAATTCCCATCAACGTTCATGATAAAAATACCTTCCTTTAAAAGCCCCAGTCTGATGTCTAAAAATCATTCAGGTTGTTGCACGGAAGGAAAGCAAATCCTATTTCTGGGTGCGGATAAAGTTAATAATTAATTTCTTTGTTCCCAATCTGAAGTAGTACAGCTCACCATTTTGTACGTTCGATGTTTTTTGCTCAGCAGTCAAAAAAACTCGCGTGTAGTAGACACCCTGTTAAAAAAAAATGTTGAGCTGATATCAATAAATACCTACTATTCTTGATTCTTTCCATAATTTATTCAATTTTTTCAGGTATCTTGTGTAAGATTCTCGCCAAACCATGCTAACCCGATCATCGTATCAGCTGGTTGGGATCGTATGGTTAAGGTGTGGAACTTGACCAATTGCAGACTAAAGATTAACCACTCTGGTCATGCTGGCTATTTGAACACTGTAACCGTCTCTCCCGATGGCTCTCTTTGCGCATCAGGAGGAAAAGACTGCAAGGCTATGCTATGGGATTTGAATGATGGCAAACACTTGCACACTTTGGATCACAATGACATCATCACCGCTTTGTGCTTCTCGCCAAATAGGTAAGCAAAAACGCTGTATTTTTTGCTGTTTTTACAGGATTTGTTTTCGTGATGATATTTCTTTAAACTCTTGAATATCTATGAGAGTTAGCGGATATGGGACTGATTTATAGCAATAATACATTTAGAATTTGCGTCAATTTGATATACGTCTCATCAAAGCTGTTGTTTCATTACAGGTACTGGCTATGTGCCGCCTACGGTCCCTCAATCAAGATCTGGGACTTGGAAAGCAAGGAAATGGTTGAGGAACTCAAACCCGAAGTCGTCTCTCAATCACAAGGTTCCAAAGCTGAACCTCCACAGTGTTTGTCTCTTGCTTGGTCTACTGATGGCCAAACTTTGTTTGCCGGATACTCAGACAACATTATCAGAGTATGGCAAGTCAGTGTTAGCGCACATTAAGTTTCTAATTTGAAAGGAAATGTGATCAAGTGCAAGACTTTCAATAAAAGTTTTTAAGCTAAGTTTGTTTTATTGTAAGACTGTTAGAATTATAAGGGTTAATATATTTTTATTTTGCTTCAGTGGTTTTTTTGCAATGCACGATGCGAAGTTTTATTGTTTGAAGATGTTTTCTATCTTTATGGTTTGCTTCGATTGTGTTAAATCAACATTTTCCTTCGCATTCGAGGAGAAACCAAAAACCCTACGCTGCATTGGAGTGAAATATTTTCCCAGTAGCCTTTGATTAAAGCAAGAAATTCGGGCACTTTAATTCTATTCATGTTCAGGTTCTAATGATGAAAACGCAATCTTCCGGTTGAAAAACGAAAATTGTTTATCAACAAGGGTTTTCTGCGTCGACACTGGACTTGATGGCGTTCTTGAGAAACTTTTTAACCCGAAGTTATGTTATTGGAGAATCGCTGAAATAATATTAATTTGTAACAAAAACATGTTGTTGAAAGGCAGAAAATCCGGTAAATCCATGAATATTTATACTCAGTTGTTTACTATTTAGAATAACTTCCAATAACAAATCAGATTTACAATATTTTTCTTCGCTTCTAACATTTATTCTACTTTTGCGTTTTGCTATAAAAACAAGCGCGTTTTTGTTTTTCTTGTTCATTTTCAGTGCAAAATTGTGGCGCGTTGAGATGAAGGAACTACAGGTGAGGCTTTTAAAAACGAATGGCGAACTTAGTTTTTTATTTATTGAATGCGTTTTCCTTTTCAAAGTATTTACGTGGTTTTGGTAGCGAATTCTCGTCGGAAGATCCGAGGTGTCCCAACGCTTTACCGTTGGGTCAAAATAGTCCCCAAAAATGTCCTTATGGATTGTACGCGGAACAATTATCCGGAACATCCTTTACAGCACCCAGAAGCGAAAATCGGTAACATTTACATTAACTTTTCTCTTCCCATTAACTGCCGTTTCTTCCACAGACGCACTTGGTTGTACCGTATCAGGCCAAGCGTCGGGCATCAACCTTTTAAAAAATGTGCAAATACAGGAATGACGCACAATTGGGGGGAACAAGAACCAGATCCGAACCAGGTAAAGTAACAAAACAAAGCAAAGATTCGCATCGAGGTAGAAGATGTTCCAGATGAGGTGGAAGCCTTTCGACCTGGCAGCTTCTGATGAAGACTTTGTGGACGGGCTTAAAACGGTTTGCGGGGCTGGAGATCCCAAAATCAAGCTCGGACTGGCAATCCACGTCTATTCATGCAACAGCCCAATGAAGAATCGTGCTTTTTACAACGCCGATGGAGACTTTTTGATCGGTATTTAGGTGTATCGTCTTCTCAAGAGAAATTCTTCAGTGAAGTTTAGTTCCCCAGATGGGCACGCTGATCATCCGGACTGAATTTGGAAAAATGACTGTATCGCCAAACGAAATATGCGTGATTCAACAAGGCATGCGGTTTTCGGTCGCAGTATCTGAACAGTCCAGAGGATATATTTTGGAAGTTTTCGGTAGGCACTTTCACTTGCCAGATTTGGGGCCAATTGGCGCTAATGGACTGGCGAATGCAAGAGATTTTTTAACACCGACCGCTTGGTAAGCTCATTTTTTCGCTTAGCATTAAAGTGAGTTATCGACACTTTAGGTATGAAAATTGCGAAAATATCGGGTTTGAAATAATCGGGAAGTTCCAAGGACATTTATTTTCCGCTGAACAGAACCACAGTCCTTTCGATGTGGTTGCTTGGCATGGGAACTACGTTCCGTACAAGTACGACTTAAGCAAGTTTATGGTGATTAATTCAGTGTCCTTTGATCACTGTGTAAGTGAGCTTAAAGAGATTTCTGCACGGCGAATACGTTTGAATCACAACGGTTTTTAGGATCCTTCAATATTCACAATATTAACATGCCCCTCAGACAAACTTGGCACAGCTATTGCGGATTTTGTTATTTTTCCACCCAGATGGTCCGTTCAAGAGCACACTTTTAGGCCGCCGTATTACCACCGAAACTGCATGTCCGAATTTATGGGGCTGATTCTAGGGGAATATGAAGTAAGGATTTTTTCATAACTACCACAAATAATTAAGTGACTGGAGTATGGATTCGCTATTTAGAAACTTTCTGTATATTGTCCGGAATCCTTTAGGCCAAAAAGGGGGCATTTCAACCGGGAGGTGCCACTTTACACAGCATAATGACACCCCATGGGCCTGATAAAAGCTGCTTTGAGTATGGTTCTAATGAACCCCTGGTACCCAAAAAAGTAGCAGAAGGCACTCAGGTAAGAAATTCTGTAAAGAAACTTGGAAATATCTACAGATAATTTACAAACACCCTGTATGCACCAGAATTTTAATGTGTTTGTCTATTTAAGGCATTTATGTTTGAAAGCTGCTTAAGCCTGGCTATTACGGAATGGGGAGCCAAAACGTGCGAAAAATTGGATCCCGAATATTTCAAATGCTGGCAAGGATTGAACAGTAACTTCACCGGACCGACTTAATACTGTAAATAGTCATAAAATAGTTCTAGTTCTGCATCGCCTAGAGCATTAAACGCAGCAAGCATCAGACATTAACTTTCTTGGGCTTCATAGACGACTCCTCACAAAATGTGAATGTGTCTCTACAGAACACCAGTTTTTTTTTTTGGGAAATAATAAAATACCATCAGACAAATAGTTTACGTGAGAAATGATACACCGAACTATTATGCAAAACTTTAATTTAATCCTATAAAATTATAAATAACGCAAGACAGATTTAAAATGGGGAATAACAAATCCAAAATGACGATCGCAGATTGTTTAAAAGTATAAAGTTTTTGCAAATTAGACTGTGGCTGCAACTGAATCAATATCAGCGGTCGGCTGCTCGGTTTCCTCATCATTATAAATATTTTCTGCCATTTGCCAAACTTGCATTATATTATCTTCGGACACAGAGCAAATCACCCAAGCTTCATTAGGATTCCAACTAAAATCTGGAAAAAACCATATCAAACTCGTTAATTGTTCAGCATTATTAATACAGTTAACGAATGCGTTATTTTATCCGCCACACAAAGCAAATCAAAGTAAGAAACACTAATTACCTGAAATCTTGGCCGTGTGGCCGCCGTGAATGAAGAGCAGTTCTGGCGGTCCATCTTCAGCATCTTCCGCTGCTTGTTCTTCACCTGAAATGTATAGAAAACCCTTTCCGTGTGAAATTCTAATTACTTAATAACAAAGTTTGCAGTTTGATTACCACCAACAACTACCTACCAATTTTACTTAGATCCCATACGTGGAGTCGCCGATCCGTACCAGAGGACGCGAGAATTGTTTCATTATGAGGCGACCATTGAACCTGGAAAATTTCATCTTTATGTGACTCGAAGCTGTGTAGTTTTAGTTTGAGATTCCGCAGATCCCAAAGAGCCACAGTTTTATCCGCGGATCCTGTGAAACATAAATAAATCACCCATTGCGATTCACTTGGAGCTCATGGTTGGTTTACCGGTAGCAAGAATAAATTCAGAATAAGGATTGAAACTGAGACAATTGACTTCGGCGGTGTGAGCGTCGACGGTGTGTGATGGCTTGCTGATGTTGTTGCATCTGGTATCCCAGATCATAAGTTTCTGATCGTCTGCCACCGATCCGAAAAGACTTTCGTGAAGCAAATGCCACGCCACATCTTCGACTACCGCTGTATGACCTGAAACGTTGATGAGGTTGCACATAATTACTCATTTTGAGTGAAATAATACTGGGAACTGATTTGAGCGCAGCACTTATGTTCCTGCCAACTGTAGAAATAAATAGATACCTGTGAAGATCGTCTTGGCATCAATTACCCGATTTTCTTTGGGGGTGGCATTGATGTCCCACAGGCAGATAGTGTGATCGTCGCTAGCAGACAGTAGATATCCATTTAGATTGGGATTCCATGATAGGCCGTAACCCTCTTTTTGGTGCCCCCTGAGCCGCAAATCTGGATGGCATTCACCATTCGGGTCCGGTTTACTCGGATGTTTGGTGTAGTCAAAAACTACAATTCGGGAGACGGAAATAACTCAACTTTTCCTGCGATAAGCAGCTGCTTACCAAGAACATCACTGGAAGGAGTTTTTGTGGCAATTACACAAGGGTTCTGCGGCATATATCTAGCGCGGTTCACTTCACCTTCGTGGTTTATTTTAATTTCAATTTCGATTTTACCGGAAACAGATCCGAAACCACCAAACTCGCCTTTCTCGTTTTCATAGTGAGATGCATCGAATTGGGCATCTTCATTAGGCAACTGCACACTGAAGAAAAATAATACTTTTATGACTTTCACGTTTTTGTGTCCCTATAATGTTGTAGAAAGTAAGACCAAATTTCTTTAAAATGTCCCCATAGCCAAGCATATAAATTGGCTAGAGGAGTATTTTTACAGCAAGATTGACAAAAAAATGTGAAAATATACTCTAAAAAAAATTACCATCTGTATTCTTTGGATCAAAAGACGACGATCTTTAAGATTTACTAGGAAAAAGGTCTGGCTGGTCTACTGTTGATGGTCAAAGTTCTTCAAACATTTTAATCTTTTTTAATACCGGAAGAATGGTTTACAAAAGCGCACTGCACTGTCTACTTATGCAAGAAGTGCAAGTAATATTCTTAAACGTTGCTTGGTCTACTGTACTGTAAAACGTTTAAGTCCTATATAACTAGACAGCATAAACCATCGGCAGCTGGAAGTCAAAGTTGGTTCATTCTGATGAGCAAATTTTCAATTTCATCAATTACAAATCGTTGCAGGAGTCAACTTAGCCAACAACTATCAAACTCTCCTTGTGGTACACAGTTGTAATAAGCGTAGAAAGGCTCTTACCTAGCGATAAGTAAGTGGTTCTGTTCATCACTTGTATGGGTGCCCAGTATGAGTCGATGTAGGCTGTGATCTTTGCCTTCTGGTCTTGTAACATCGGGCAGCCACTGAGCTGTTAATGATGGCCATTCCAGAGCGTGAGTCATCACCAAATCGTAAAGAAAGGGGGTATTTTTCTTCCAGATTTTGTACTCTTCATTAATTACTCGCTCTTCAACGGCATCGTCGAAAGTCTCTGAAAAATTAATGAAACAGTGGTCGTCGGTATTTTTTGTCAGCGAGGGATACCCACTTCAAAATAGGGCTTCTGAATGAGCCAATACATTCAAGAAAATGTAAAGATAACTGATTCAATGTGAAGAATGCATTTTTTATGGGAGTAAGCTACTTACCCGCATCACCTTTATCACCGACAGTGCCCATATTGCCTTTAACGAACACGTGAATAAACTAGAAAAATTTTCAGTTTTTTAATGATAATTTTTGAAAACTCGGCTTCTGTTTAACTATAAAATTACAGGGAAAATGGAGTTTGACGTTACTCTTATTTGATCCCGCCAATACAAAGCAAGTGTTCCCAACCAGATTTGCCAAATTATCCTAATTTTGTAAATTTTAAGGCTTTAAAATTTGTATTCAAATATTTTTACTCGAGTATAGACCCTGAAATTTGGACCAACAAATGAAAAACAGACAATGTTTATGGGTATTTGTGTTAGTATTCTCTTGGCCACAGAATATCCCACTGGGAATGTTCTGTGTCATTACTGCCATTGGCTAGCCTGTTTAAGTTGATTCTCAACCTCTCTGTCAACCTCAAAATTTGCTTTTGATTGTCACAGTTTGCTAGAAAAGCAACTTTTGGTGTTCAATTATTTCACACTTTTCTTTAGACTAATTCTAGTTAAAACATGTCAGGCCACGACGATCCCCCAGAAGCAGCCAAGTTGAAAGGTCTGTCTAAACATTTCAACAGTATAACCATAAGAGGACGAGCGAATGTAAGTTCACGATATGAGCGAGTTGCATAATCGATATTCTCTGAAAATCTCTTTAAATTATTATTTTGTAACTGGTATTATTTGTAGGTTGCTCTGGCCACTTATGTGGGAATGGCTGCTCTAGGTGTCTATTTGTACGTGAAGCCTAAGAAGTAAGGGAAGATGTGAAGCCATGTAGTTTGTAGCCTTTAAGAATAAAGTTACGTTTTTAAGTTTTCAAAGTGTTGTAAATCCAACTAGCATAACGGTGCGTTGTTTCCCTATTATTCCTGAAGTCGAAATCAATAAATTGGTTATGTAATAAGCTAAACTGGGGGATTTTGTCAGATGTTCTAAGTTGGAATGTTTCAAGCCATAGATCAATAGTATGTAGTCTGTGCCATAGATTAACATCACAATAATGGAGCTGGACGTTTAAAACGATCGAATTACGTTTTTTCCTGTAGTGATTACTTTTATCGCAGTCACAGAACATATCCAGGGGGGATATTTTGTGATCGCAGTTTTCAACCAATAAACAACGCGATGTTTTGGGTGAGCTAAAATCACAGAACATACCCCCAGGGGGGATATTTTGTGGCTAAAATACCCAGGGAAAGGAGAACTGTTTCCTGGGTTTTTCTGATCTTGCTAACACCTCGACAGATGGCGCGAGCTGTTTTGTATTTGTGGCGAACTCTACCTGCTTCTTCTCAAGTACAGGTCCACCAGAAACGTCAGTATATATCTCACCCACTAACATCTGCGGTGTTTCGATTCAAATAGCATAGATTAAGTAAAATATGACTTTCTCTATGTCAAATAGAACTTCCAATCTAAGTACCGTATTGGTCGTCTAAGGCAGAGTCTGTTGATCCTGAGTTGTCCTTTCCATTCTTTTAGATACGTTTGCAATTTTCATGTTGATTAAAAGCTTTCGAAAAAAGCAGCGTCATGTTCAAGTGGATTTTGCAACTCAAAAAAAA